TAGAGCTGCAATTCTCCAGCTGCATATGAATGTGGCTGCAGGAGGGAGTCTGTTTACCTGGGGAATGTGCTGCCAACTGATTTATAATGAAAGGAACCTGAAAAGAAGTGGTTGTTGCCCTTTTCCACAATCCCATAAGCTGTTACACAGACATAAACAATGGAATTGAATTAGGCATATTTGTCTATTTTTTTCAATGCTAAATTTTAATTTTTTCTTCTTTCAGTTTCTTAGGGCTTCATTTTAAATACTACTAAATATTTCTAAATTATGTATAGTCCTGCAGTCTTAATCATTATAAATTCTACTTTAAGGAAAAAGGTAAATAAGAAAATACTAAGACAGTATAGTTAAATATTACTCTAACTGATTTTTGATTTGTAATTCTGTAAGACTACATTAAACATTACTTGAAGATAGCCCTGTCAGAAGGCTTAAAAAATATGTTACATGACATTGTTATCAGTCATAATAACAATGTTTTATAGCCAACATATTTAGTTTTTTTAATATTTATTTTTTAGTTATAGGTGGACACAATATTTTGATTTATTTTATTTTTATGTGGTGCTGAGGATTGAACCCAGTGCTTCACGTAGGGTAAGCAAGTGTTCTACCTCTAAGCCACAATCCCAGCCCCAAGCATATCTAATTTCTAAATTTATTTAATATATGTTGTATGAGTGGATTGCTTTTTTAGTCAAGCTCTTAATAACAGTAAATCCATGGTATACTTACTTTCAAGTATTTAAAAAATCAGGGAATTATTTGAACAATTTTCCATCACTCTATATAAAAAATGTCTAAACATTTAGAATGTTATTTAACATTAGGGATAATGCTTATTTGTCTATACTTGAAGTATATATTCTTGGTATCTAGCTCATGGCCTAGCACACATATAGGAGGAATTCAATAAATATTTGATGAATGAATGTATCTCTGAGGCTTTGAGATAAGATATTATGCATTTTTTTTTATTTAGTATTCTCCTGACCAAAATCACAGATGTAAATGTAGGCCAGTTCTCAGCCACACACCTTAGAGCTTCACAGGAACTTAACCTCAAATGCAATTTCCAAAATCAGAGGAAGAATTTTCTTTTCCATGTATACAAGTTGAAAACCCTTATCAGAAATGGTTGAAACTAGAATTGTTCAGATTTCAGATTTTTAAAATTTATTATACATATAATATATACAAAACAAGATCTCTTCAGAATAGGACCCAAATCTAAACATGAAATTCATTTATGTTTCACATACACCTTACACATGTACCCTGAAAGTAATTTTACACAATGTTTAGTGTGCCTACATTTTGAGTGTGGCCCATTTCATGTGGTCAGGTTTGTAATTTTCTTTTGTGCTACCATGTCAGATTTTGCAGGATATCACATTACAGATTTTCAGATTAAGGATACTCAACTGCTACAGTATTATTTTCTAAATATTTACCTGTTGGCACTCTCCATCAAAGAACACAATAAAAAAATATCATCTGGGGCAATTAGATGTATAATGAGATAAAAACAACCCATTTCCCTTCTTTAATCTCCCATTTCCCAAGCCAGGAATTAAATAGTAAAGAGTTATTTGCAGACATAATTATCATTGATATCTACTTTCAAGAAACATTTGTTGAATATCTTCTGGATTGCAGCCACTATGCCAGCTCCGAGGTATATAGAGATAAATAAACACAGCCCCCACCTGTAAGACAGATAGATCAATATATTCTTCTACCATTACTGTAATGAAGCACTTCATTTGAAGTCTTCTTTGACTTAAAGCATTTTCCTAACAGAGAAATAAGCTTACTATGGACTATCAGGTCATCTTTACTCTATGAATAGTCAGAATAGTCAAACTTTCTTCATATTCAAGAGATGCCTATATTTTTAATAAACATACATGGTAAGCCCTGAGTTATTGACTTTCTTCCAGTTAACTTTTCTCTGTTATTAGGCAAATAAAACAATGATTTTGTAGAGCAATTTCTGCATCTTTATCATTAGCAATAATGATCAGTATCTTTTGCCTTCCATCCAAGACTGTTTCACTTCAAAGGGAATTGTACATAAAGATCAAAGAGAGACCAGAAATTGATACAAGACCAAAAAAAAAAAAAAAAGTGAAAAAGAAAAAGTAAAAAAGGTGCTGCAGTATCAACTTCTTAAAAAATTATTATTATTAGACTTCCTGGTGCCCTGTGGCAGGAATCCTAGAGATGCCCTGAGTTAACATTGAGCATTCCAAGGACTGTAGCCGCCCTCACTGCCAAGATTCACACCTAAATAAATAAACAAAGCAAAGCCCAGCTGACTGTGTGTCTCCAGAAAACAACTCATCATTTGTTCCACATGAAAGGAACAGAAAGCAAGTGGAAAGCTGGGTTTTAAAGGGCACTGCTAACATGAGAAGGGAGAAATGTCAAAAATGTTGAAGTAAACAGTAGACTAGTACCTGTCTCAATTTTTTTCATTGAGAGTTTTTGTTCTTGGTACCTAAATAATCCTAAATGCTGTGACATTTCATTTATTCCCAAGAGCACGTACAGGAAACGATATGAATTATAATGCAATAACAGATAGCAGATATTTCTTGAAGGAGCTACAGCAGGAATATAAAGCAGGAAGTAAACAATTTAACTGGGGAAGAGAGAGGAAAGAATACTTAGACTTTCTTGGCAGAGACTTCTGAGTCCTACGTGGCAAGTAGGTGTTTGCCAACAAATGAGTATAGAAGGGCATTCCTTGAAAAGGCAACAGCATGGGTGGGAGCAAGGGGTCATCAGCTCCTGAGCATCCACTGAAGTCTACACAGTTCTATGTCTGGAACTTGGGATTTAAAGGCAGAGGGGTGACAAGGCTGATGGGCACAATGAGCAGTAAGGCTTGACAGCTGGCCAGGAACAAGCTCATGGAGCACTGAGAAATGCTTACAAGAAGTCAATTCTTAAACCTGTAGCCAAGGAAAGATTGGTAGAGTCTGACAGGAGATGGGCCACTCCAAGCAGTAATTAAGACTATGCATTAGAACAGCTCCTCCAATGGGACACTATTCAGATTATTAACATTGGCTAATTCATCTGGGAGCATACAAGTGGTGGTGTGGCTTCCAGGATCCTGACTGAGTCTGGAAGGAGCTAGGAGAGGCCCCTCCTTCATAAAGCCCCCAACAATAGACAATCACACATAAAAGTAGGAGAAAAGACAAGCCAACTGGACCACACACTCTCGGACAGGTGGCTGCACCCTCTCAGGAGAATGCTCCAGAAATCACAGGCTGACACACCTCTCACATGACTCTGAAAACAGTAAGCACATTTCACCTTGCAGGAGGGAGGAAAGAGTGTGAACTGACCGAAAGTTTGCTCTATTGCTAGGGAGCTGGGAGTCTGAGAATACCATGGCTTCGTGGGTTCATGTGCACATGGAATTGGCCAGCTCCAGTGTTTTGGAAAGCTCCATGAGAAGACCCCGACTACTCTCAAAAGCATGATCTTCACAGCACAGCTTAGCCTAATTCACAGTGGATACATACATTCTACCCTGTCCCAAGCTACAACCTACTTTGCAAACTCCAGCACTAGCACTATTGCATACCTTGAAATGTGAGGGCCACACCAGGAACTGCCTGTGACACTGGCTACATGACCAGCAATCATACTTCATCATCTATAGCTGTACCATAAATTTAAAAATTGTACCTGAGAAAGCGATATCTTAATTCATAAAAACAGTGCTTTGTTGGGCTGCCAGCAGCTCTGTAGAATCTATTGCCATGATCCTGATAAGAGCCTGGCATCATGAGGATAGGGAAGAAGCAATGGCTTTGGCAGAGGTTAAACAGGCAGACTCTTCAGGGATTAGTGGCCAATAGGAAGAGGGTGGAAGAAGGTGAAAAGGAGAGGATGCTGGAGTGTGGATTTTTGACTTGAGAGCCTGGACACAGAGAAGATCCATTCTCAGAGATAAGGGAGAGTTTATGACATGCGGACCTTGAGGTGTCCAAAGGATGTGTGGGTAAAACTGTTTAGCAAGCAGATGACCAAGGAATTTGGAACCCATTTAAGTGGGTGGTGAAACTATTAAAAAAAATGAGTTAGATCGGCAAAGGGAGTTGAGAGAAAGGGGAAGGGCAGCTGTTCAGCAATGGAATTTGAGATGTACCCAGAAATGAAGCATGAGAACAGAAATCTAGGAGTTGTAACATGTAGACAATAATCAAGATTTCCATAAAGCCCAGGTAAAATGAAGAGTAGAGTGGGTTTTTTTTTTCAATGTAGAAACTAGTTTAATAGTAGCTTTTTCCAAAACCATTTTATTATAGCAGTGGGAACAGAATCTTTTATCTTTAAAAAAAAAAACAAACAAACACTGAGAAGTTGCTAGGATTATAGGTGTGCACCACCTCACCTGGCTGAAGACAGAACATTGAATCCAGAGGGCTGAGAGCATCTAGGATGAGATGAAGCAGAGCAACACCACAAAGATTTCTTTGGAGAGCTCATGTATGAAGAGGGGAAGAGGGATGTGGTGGTAAAAGTGCTGACTTGGTAACAGAGTTAATTTTGTGTTTTGTTTCCAAATAGAAAGGCCAAGAGTCCACAAAAGGGGCAAGTTTACACATGAAGCTGAATGGGGATACAGGTTGCTGTCCTACCAAAATGAAAGTGAATGACTGAGTAGGGTACTGAACTTGGCATTAGAACAAGAGTCTGAACCCTATCTCCAATCTAAGTACATTGGCCAAGTCACTTTACATCTTTAGTCCTCTCCAGCCACTTCTGTGAGATGGGACCACTAAAGTCCACCCCATCATGTATTATGAGACCCGGTAGGCATACCTGTGGGAGAGTGTCTGGGCCATGGTGAAGTGTGTGTTTGGGTATGGCAATTGGAGTCATTAGTCCATCAAACTTCTGATGGGAGACCATCAATGTATGTATTGTTGCTTTCTTTACCATATTTGTTCATATAATTTTTATCTCTTTAGGAATTTGGTGACAGGCGCTGTTAGTCTGATCCTCCCTTACATGAAGGACAAGACAAAGATCCAGTTTGGAAATGAGAAAGGAGAACTAGCGGGCGACGTTGGCTCTATCTCTTGATATCTCCCAGAGGCGCAGAAAAAGGATTCATGAAGATGTGGACAAGACTTCAAGTTCTTACTTTAGCTTTATTTTCAAAGGGATTTTTACTCTCTTTAGGGGATCATAACTTTATGAGGAGGGAGATTAAAATAGAAGGTGACCTTGTTTTGGGGGGCCTATTTCCTATTAATGAAAAAGGCACTGGAACTGAAGACTGTGGGCGAATCAATGAAGATCGAGGGATCCAACGCCTGGAAGCTATGTTGTTTGCTATTGATGAAATCAACAAAGACAATTACCTTCTACCCGGAGTGAAGTTGGGTGTTCATATTCTGGATACATGCTCAAGGGATACCTATGCTTTAGAGCAATCACTGGAGTTTGTCAGGGCATCTTTGACTAAAGTGGATGAAGCTGAGTATATGTGTCCTGACGGATCATATGCCATTCAAGAAAATATCCCTCTGCTCATTGCAGGGGTCATTGGTGGCTCTTACAGCAGTGTTTCCATACAGGTAAGACTGGCATATATTCCTGCTAAAAGCTGTGTCTCTTTGCTTTTATGTCTTGGGGGCAACAAAAGAAGGCTATCCTAATAATTTTGTCAATGGATGATGTCATATTTCTATCAGTATTTGATAACAAAGGTAGCTATTGCATCATAACACAATGCCCTGAAATTCAATTGTTTGACCCAATTACTTATTAGTTTACAAGCCTGAAGTAATGACTTTTTCCTTTACAGTAAGCCAATGGAGACTGGGCTTAGCAGTGGGTGGTTTTGCCCAGGTTGTCTCCTAGAATCAATGCTCTAGCCCATGGAAGTTCTCAGAGTGATGGCAGGGGTGTGAGGGAATGCAAACTCAACTGCATATTTCCTCTTCAAGCTCCTGCTTGTATCATATCTGCTAGTATCCCATTAGCTGAAGCAATTCCATGGGGCTCAGCTCAGAGTCAAGAAGCAGGAAAGAATGGCCTGCTCACAGTAAATAATAGTGCTACATAATTCCATAAAATAGGAATTTCAAGCCATGGATAAAAGCAATCACAGGAAGGTACAATATCCCTGAACTCACACACATTTTTCACTAAAGCATCATTTTGTTGGGACACAATATAAAGAATTTCTCAGTATATAAACTTTAAAATGTATACAGAGAATCCAGATAATTAACCCTCTCCCCAAAAAACAAAAAGACTTAGCACATGAAGTAGATACAAAGCTGATAACTGATTCTCAGGTTTTGCTAGGAAAAAAGAAACATTCAAATTCTTGCAGTGCTTATGTACATGATCATAGAATTTAGAAACAGAACAGAACTGAGAAATCATCCAGCTCAACCTTCTCATTTTCCCAATTCCCAAAGAGATGTTGGTCTCAAGAAAACTCCCATTGGTAGGAAGCACAAAATCTAGAATTCAGATCTTTTGTACTTTTCTGCTTTTTCAGCTACCACATGTGATTTCAGTGTTACTTAAAGTTCAATTTGTTTTCTGGTGAGAACACTATTGTCACAGTATTAAAAGTCCATGATTCTAAGAGTAATACACTTTGCCTCCTACCAAATTACTGTAATCAAAGCCCAAGCATTAAAGATACTCACATTGTCTTTGTATGTCACAAACCCACTTCAAGTGGCTCTATTTGCATTGGAATAGCCTTATTTCTATATCCCAGATTTGCAGCACTTAAAATTCTACGTGTTATTCTGTGTTGCTCTAAATGAGCTATTTCAAATTTCTTTCCCTCTTTAGAGCACACAGTCATATTATAAGTAATTAGGATAATTGGTTTTTCATAAACACCCTTTGACTTCATTAGATGAATAGAAAATATTGCACATCTCAAAGCACAGCATGTTAATTTTGTCACAATTTCTATACTTGGGTCAGTAGAGGTAGAATTTGTTATTGAGAGAAAAGAGAAAATTTAAGATGTATACCCACCATACTTTAATAACAATTTCATCTGTGAATGTCAATCATTTCACAAACATTTATATTATGCCCAATGTTACTGCTAATAAGGAACAGGAATATATGTTTTTCTGACATTAAGCCATCCCAACATAGTAAATAGCACTATTCCAGAGCAGATGTGTCATAATGATTTATTCAAAGTATTTAACAAGCTACATATTGCAAAATAAAATTTTTACCTAATTTTACTCTTTTGACATTATAACTCCAAGGAGAGGTGAGACTGGTTTAAGGGGAAAAAATCTAGGCTTCTAAAACTCTTTACTGGTCCTCAAGGGAAGAAAACACTAATCTTACTCATCAAAGGACCTTGCTTTTTATTTAATTTATCTGGTCAATATACCATAAAGTGACAAATGCTGATATGGTTTTTGTCTCCACCACTAAAAATAAAGAAAAATGAGTATAAATTTTGACATCAGAAAGACCTGGGTGTGAAGTCCAACATTGCCATTTGCTGGTTAGTTGTAAAATGAGCAAAATAGAATCTACCTCAAAAAGATGTGGAAAGGAGAAATTGAGGAAATCCATGAAAAATTCTTCACCAAAAAAATTAAGATTCATTAAATGGTTCCTATTGTGTTCCAAAATTATAGGAAAAGTCAGCTGAGAAGCTACATTTAAAACTAATTCTGTGGCCTTTGCAGTGGCCAAGCAGTCTAATGAGATCATGGGCTGGTCCCCCAGCAAGTCAGTCTGGATAAAGAGCCTAATGTGTGCTCTGCTCTGTGACAGGGTTAGAGAGAATACTAAAGTCATATAGAACATGTTCTTGACTTTAAGGCATTTAATGCCTGGCTGGGGGTTCAGTACTACTGCGAAATAGCAATTACTCTAATTCAGTAATTAGATGACAGAATGAAAGTTGGATTAGACAAAGGTTGATAGGGCCACAGAGAGAAGTAGATACTGGATCTGAGGAGGTTGAACATAAATTTGTGGTAAATGTTTATGGGGATGGGGACAAGGACTTTGGCAAGAGTAAGGAGGTGAGCTAAAGAGAAAGGGACAGAGTAGGGGTCTCCATGCCCTCTGACTACTCAGCTCTGTGATTAGGCCACACTCAAGAACAAAGAAAATCTGGGAGATGGAACAAATGGTCCCTAATCAGTGACCTCCAGGCACCCTTCCAAGGAAACTTTCTACATCAGACCTTCCTTTCAGCAAAACATCATGAATGAAAAGAGGTCCAAAGAGGCCTTTACACAGCTAAGAATTGAAGTATGTTATCCTTGCAAACATATTTGTCCTTTAATAAGAATTCTTAAAAATATCCTTAGTGTCAATCCAAAGTAGTAGGCTCCTAATGGTGAATTTAAGGCACTCTTGTACATTAATGAGGGAGACACTATAGAAGATTTTTGTGGGTATCGTTCTTACTCACCCTCTTCAGTTTCCATGAATGATTCTCATCATGCACCTGGTGTCTGATGACCATGAGGATAGCATGTACCTGGTAGTCCTGCCATCCTCTCTTTTCTCCTTTCAACTTCCTCAATATATCCTGGAAAGTGTTTCTGCTTGAACTGAATTAGGTCAGGGAAAAGGATGAAACTGTAGAAGCAAATGAGTACAAATCTATAATTTAAAAAATGTCTGTCATTCATTTGTCACTAACTGAAGCCCGGAACTTTCAGTAACAAAATTGCCCATTGGGAGAGAATTTTAGAGATTCATATTTGTGCATCTTCCTTCTGTGGCGGGGTCAGTTGTTTAGATGTTATAAACTCTGGGTTGCTTCATTGGCCACATTGCCTCAGGGGGTACTTCCTCTACAGCTTCCTTTTCTTCCCACTAAAGAAGAGGAATTCTTAGGAATACAGCAAAGAAGACATCTCCTGCTGTGTTATAGGAGAGGGCTTTGAATGGAAGAGAGGAGTCTTAAGATTTGCTGGGTTAAGCCATATCACCATTGATGAAAACCTAGATAACTATTTTCCTAATGTTCTAATTAAGGATGACAAACCACTCTGTGGTGGTCCTTCACAAAGCAACACTATTGATTTTTTAATTGAGTATTCAATAAAACCAAGCATCAAAATCCTTCTATATTAGCAAATGGAGTTGGGGGGTCTATTCACCCCTCTGGTAAGTTCTTTTTCAAAGCATTTTAATACTATATCCTAATCTTCTCTATAAGCCTGCAAACCCCTCACTTCAGGGAAAATAGTATTTCTTCAAGAAGGGAATCAGGTTGGTTGCCTTTAGCTAAGCAACTGTCTTTGTGGTACTTATTTAGAAGCAATGTTTATGCTTGTGCTTTTCAAATAGGCTGTAGTTAAAGTAGTTAGTTCCTAAGTGGTCCAGTCAAAAATGTTCCTTGAAATGTGCCCAAAATGTTCCTGACTCTTTTTGGAGGATGCAACATTTTCTCATTCTTTCTTGCCTATGTAGAACAAATTTTCAATGGAACATGCAAGTATAAGTTACCCAGTCATTGTTTCGTCTATGAATATTAAAGTGACCCAAGCAATAAATGAGGATTTGGGTTAAATGGCCTCTAAAAGTTTAGCTCATAGAAAAGTCAGAGGTTTGTCTTGAACCTCCTTTTCATCCCTAGTATAGTTATACCCTTTTTCAAGATTTCTAGTACAATCTACAGCCCAGGAACTCTAACTCTGAGCAGCAGTTTTTATGACATAGTTTATCATGACATGACTTTGGACATACATACGATGCATTTTTCAGATTATATCCGTGGGAAGAATTACTCCTTAAACCAAATTCTTTGCAATAAATTTTGTGGACTTTAGTTACATGGGGAAAAGGAGAAAGAGACCGTTTTATTTTACTTCTTCCACCCAATTCCATAGTGCTGGTAGAGTTTGTGAACCCCACTGGTCAATTTGTATCAAGTATTGCTGTACTTTAATGATTCATTCCTCATTCCCCCTCAAATGTTTTTGGGAAGGTCATACATTAATTGCTACTCTTACAGGAAAATTGAAAAAATAGTCCAAGAATACAAAAGCCTTCACAGAGTTAGCTGTCTCCAAATATCTGAAAGGCTGCTAATGGAAACAGTTACACTTTCTCTGTGGATAAATAGATTGAATCTAGAGCAAAGTTCCTCAACCTTGATAGTATTGACATTTTTGTCTGGAAAACTCTTTGATATGTGAGGTCATATATTATTGTAGAATGTTTAGGAGCATCCTAGCCTCTACCCATAGGTGCCAGCAGCCCGAGTTGCGACACCCAAAAGTATTTCCATACATTACCAAGTTACAAAACTAACTCCTTTTCTCAAAATCTCCAATCTAGAGGAAGGCATATTTGGGGCCAATAGAAAAATGAGTTCTGAGAAATGAAATTGCCTATAAGTGAGGGACAAGAAAGAATAATGTCCCCTGTTACCAAAGTTGTTCAAACAAAAGCCAACCGTTTATTAAAAATAGCAAAATATCAGATTAGTATTTGAATTATATGGCACTAAAGGATGTTGCTTAATTTTATAATTGTATGTGGTTAATCAAAACATTCTATTAGGGCCTAAATGATTGCAAAGGAAATATCTAAAACAATGAAAAATAAA